CCTGTAGTGAGCACACACCCACCCACCCCCTACACCACCTAAACAGGCAGAGTGCAGACATGGGGAAGGAAGCCAGCCCTGGAAGGCCGGGGCTGGCACAGTGGATTAAACCACTACATGCAATACCAGCATCCCATATGACCACCCGTCCCAGTTACTCTACTTATGGTCCAGTTCCCTGCTAAGCAACACAAGATGGCCCAAGTGATTGAGCTCCTGCCACCCAAGTGGGAGACATGGAAGAAGCTCCTGGCTCCAGGCTACGCCTTGGCCACTGTAGCCATTTGGGGCATGAACCAGAGGATGGAAGATTTGTCGCTTTCTTTCTCTAACTCTGCCTTTCAAATAAATAAATCTGGAGAGAGAGAGAGAGAGTGAGTCATCCTCCAAATGGTGATTTGGGGTTGGCAACAAATGGAATGAGCACGCACCTTGAACACTGAGGGCCAGTTTACAGAAACTCCATCCTTCGCCCCACACCCCAGGCTGACCTTCCACACTCACAAAGTTGGAAACAGCATGGGTTTCAAACCCATGTGGATCCAGAGCTGGAACTGCAGTGGGTGAGCCTGGCAAATAATTCACTCTCATCCAGTCTCTGTTCCCTCCCTACTGAGGTGGGTCACATGACTTTCTCTAGAGCCCTGCACGGTGTAGTCCAGCCTGGCACCCTGCAGTCCAATCTCTCTCCAGCTCTCCTGGCTGGTCTTGATGCTCCCCTTAACCTCACTGCACCTGCAAAAAATGCAACTGTCAGGGAGGGGACCTGGCAGCCCCGGGAGATTGTGGTCAGTGGAGCGACCCTCATGGCTCTGTCCCCCAGGAGGTTCTGTATCCCTGCCCTGGATGGCCATAGTCCCCTGGGGACATTGGACAAACAGAGGCCCTGCCTTAGGAGAGAGGAAACTAAACAAGGCAAGTGGAGGAGGAGGTTCCTTCGGGCTGCATTGTGGCCACCCAGACCCTACAATGATGGCCTCCATGTCAAAGTTTCCAATCCAGAGCTGGGACATGGTACCTGCCAAGTATGAGCAGACTCAGACTGGAGCCCCTCAAAAGCAGCCACAGGGGCTTAGTTCCAGGGTTTCTGCTGCAGGCAGAGTGATGGATGCCAGCAGCCAGTACACATAACCAGACCCTGTATGCATAACCTTGGCCCCACCCCAGACCTCTCATTCATGTTCTTTGGGCCTCCGTTTCCCACTTGGAAAATACAGTATCTACTTCAGCAGGCTGCTAAGAGAACCAACACATACAAATGGTGCAATCCAGCACATAATACGCAGCCTGAACTATCAAGTACATATCTGTTAGATGGATACCGTGAAAGACAGAATACTAAAACTCGAACTATCTCCAAATTCCACTGTCACGTACAAGCAACAGCCCCTATGCCCTCAGCCCTGGGAGAGAAGATCCCTTAAATGCTATAGAGAAGGGGGTCAGCAAGCTACCAGCTGTAAAAGAGCTAAGAAGGACAGCAAAGGTCGTGGACTGGCTAGAGATTTCTGCTGTAGCTTCTCAGCTCTGCCCAGATGCCACAGCCACAGCCGGTTGGCCCAGGCCCTCTCTGGACTCCTTAAGGTGCAGGCTAACCTCAGGGTCTGACCCCTGCCCTTGCTTCCTATCTCTACAGCTGGCAGCTGAGGGTAAGACATCACCTTCTAGTACCCTGGATCCGTGTCCAGAAGCTCTTAACTGGCAAGTGAAGGGGCTTTCACGGGGGGTAGGGGAAGCTCCACGCAGCGACCTTGCACAGCAGAGCTCAGGGACAGGCCAGACCCACATGGGCGAGGGGAAGCTTAACTCCTTGGTTCCCTGGACCTCCAGATACGCACCTTCCACACAGGGACCCCCACTCTGTCCCTAGCCTGGCAGCATATGAGGAATGAGAAGAAAACGAGAAGTGTCAAGTTCACGTTTGGGCTCCCAGCCGGTGAAGCTGTGGACAGCATAAGTAATGAAAATAAGAAGCAATGAAGCTGGCTTTCAGGTTGTGAGCAGTGTGAGATGGCAGGTGCTCCTGGGTGAGTCAATGTCACCATGGAACTCTGAGGCAGGCGTGGTCCTCGTTGTCACTATACCGTGCTCAGGGAGCTCAAGGGGTTGACTCAGGGCCATCCAGGCTCCCAGCAACAGAGCCAGGACTCACTTGCAGAGCTGCTGGCATTAGTCTGCCCTCGTCTGCTGGGCCAAATGTGAGACACAGAAGGGAGGTGGCTGCTTCCGCCTTGGTATACTTCCACCTGACGCTTCCCACTTGGAAGACAGAAACACAGGTGGAGCCCTCTCCACAGCTGCGTCCTCCAACGGCGAGGACAGAGGCAGGACTGACCCCCTTCTCCAAGGCCCATGCCCACCTGCAGCCTCCTGCTGCATCCTGGGCCTGGGATGCTCCCAGCTCCTTGCTTGGTTCCAGGGCAGGGGCTCCCGATACATGAAAAGTGTTGTAGTTTTGATGGAACGGGGTTTGCCCAAGCACAGAAAAGCTGCTGCATGGCCAAACCCCCAACCCCACTCCAGTGAGGTTGCTTGCTCACCTGGTTCCAAACAGGGTTCCCCGAGACCCACTTGTCCTCCACGGCCAAGCTCTCTATAACCGCAGTGTACACAGCCCTTACTTACTCCTGGAGATCTGCTCTCTGCTTCCTGCTCACTAAACCCTTTAACCTGCAGTTTCTCATACACACTTGGCCATGGGCCCTCTGCTCCCAGTTCCTCCTCCATCTCCCCCAATGTCTCCATTCTCTGCGGCTCTTCCCTGGCCTGTGAACCTCAAGCCTGACCCAATGCAGCTCACTGTGCATCCATGCCCACCTGTGCAAGAGGGCTCAGCCATCTCCCTCTTGGCCTATATGACTCCACAGGAAAAAGAGGCAAGCACGAACACCCAGGAGACACACAGGGCTGGCACTATAGCATAACAAGTTAAACTACTGCCTGCAATGCCAGCATCCCATATGGGTGCCAGTTCAAGTCCTGGCTGCTCCACTTTTCTGATCCACGTCCCTGTTAACGTGCTTGGGAAAGCAGCAGATGGTCCAAAAGCTTGGGTCCCCGCACCCATGTGGAACACCCAAAAGAAGTTTCTGGCTTCTGCCTTCAGCGTGGTCTGGCCCTGGGTGGTGTGGCCATTTGGGGAGTGAAACACAAGATGTCTCCCCTCTCTCTCTCCGTAAGTCTGCCTCTCAAATCAACAAATAAATCTTAAGGAGAAAGAGATGCCCAGGAACTCACGAGTGGAGGAGGCAGGCTCCAAGCAGCATATATTACAGGCTACTACTTTTTGACTGTTTGGAAAAAGAGAAGAAAAAAAAAATGTGTCTGCTTATCTATACTTGAACAAGGAACGCATAATGTCAACATGCCAAAAGTGATGAAGAACAGGGCTTGTCAAGTGTTTGCTAAAAGGGACAGCAGCGGGCTGAGGGTTGAACGCTGACCAATGGCCTGCAGTGTCACCAGCCATGACCACACAACATCACTTTCACCAAACCCCAGAAGACTGGATGTGTGGCCAGGTGTCGCACTTGGCAAGAGTGTGGAAGTCCATGCCCCCGCCCCATACCTGGTTCTGGCCTCTCCCCTGGGGTCAGAGCTGCTGGATCAAGTCTGTGGCCCTGAGAAGCAAGGGGTCGTGAGTACCCTGGGACCAGTTCTACCTATGTCTGGAGTAGATGGGAGGGGGCAACAGAGAGGCAGGCAGTCTTGTAGGACTGAGCCTGTGGGGGTCTGTGCTCACACCAGTTTGAGCAGCAAGACCATCTGCTAGAGCTGGAGGTTGTGGGTTGGGAGAAACCCCAGGCCATGGGACACAGTGGTGATCTGTGTTGCGTAGGGAACAAAAAGCAAAAGAAAACAATAAGTTGATTTTGTTTTGCTCAATGGATATCTTATGTAAGAATCTCTTGTTCAAAAATGGCCTGGCCGACATCCCATATGGATCCAGCTCTAGTCCTGGCTGCTCCATTTCTGATCCAGCTCCCTGCTGATGTGCCTGGCAAAGCAGCAGAGGATGACCCAAGAATGTGGATCCCTGTACCCACTTGAGACATCTGAATGAAGCTCCTGACTCCTAGCTTCAGACTGGCCCAGCTCCGGCCACTGCAGCCATTTGGGAAGTGAGCCAGCAGCCAGGAAGATCTCTCTATCTGTAGCTCCCCTCACCTCTGTACTTCTGCCTTTCAAAACAAAAGTAAATAAATCTTAAAAACAAACAAACAAAACAGTTTGCTTAAAGGCAAGATGGCATAAAGTGAAATTCAACAGATAAGTCATATCAAAAAGGATAACACAGACCTCCAAGTCCAGAAAGCTGAGTGATCTTGACCCTGGGTTTCTCCCACCCCTCACACACGAGGAGGAGGAGGAGGCCTGAGCCACTCACTGCCCTTCAGGGAGGCCAAGTAGGGAGGGCTGGGTAAGTGACAAGCCTCCCACCTACGGGGACAGGGACAGGCTCATGTTGAATCCCCTCCTCTGGCCACTGATGTCCTCTAGCCCAGCACCCATGGAGGATAAAACCTATGCTGTGCAGACTTGCAGGACACCTTGGCCCCTGCCTAGGAGCCCACAGATGGAGACAGACGGCGTGAGGGATGGACAGAGGCACTGCCAGCAAGCGGGATGGCCTCAGAGCCATGATGGGCTGCAAGACATCCACGCAACATGTGCCATGCCTGCAGCAAACGATGGAGGCGAACATTTTGGGAACCATGACTCTGGTCTGGGCTTTCCTGCTGCTCTACTCCCCACAACCTGGCCTGCACCTGCAGTGAACGAGCAGCCGAGGGCAGCACAGCTGCCTGTCCCTCTGCCCTGTCCACAATCCCCCAGTCCCCTGCAGCCTACCTCCTCAGGAAAAACAAGCCCTCTTTTCTCCCACACACATGCAGGATTTGCTGCCTCTGCTATTTGCAGAGGGCCCAGCCCTTTCCACCCAGGCCCAGTCTCTGCCGCTGGGCTGCAGGCACCCTGGGAATTGACCGCTGTGGACATACCCCTTCTTCAGGTTCTTCACGTAGGCGCTCTGGAGGGCAGCTTCTAGAAAGTAGGTGAGCTCATACTCAGCCAGGTGAGAGCCTTTTAGATGCCGGGATGTGCTGTTATTCATGGTCTGGGAAGGAAAAGGGACACAGTGAGGGTCAGCCCAGTCCATCATCACCACTCCAGTCCCAGCACCATGGTCCTGGGGTCCCAGGTGGCAGACAAGGAGGACCAGGGTCCCCGAGAAGGCACAGGAAAGCAGTTGCCCCTAGGGCCTGGGGTGCATTTCTCTGACTGATCTCAACCTAACGCACTATAACTGAAGTGTGTCTGACACACTGTGTCCCCATATAAGTGCAGGGGGACCAAGGGCCCCAGGTAAAATGTGAGTGCTCCAACTAACACACAGCTTTGTCAATGAGCTTATGTAATCCCAATAGCAGCCTGACCTGGGAGGAACTGTCATTCTCCCCATTTCTCAGATAAGCACACCGAGGCATGCAGAGGCTCTTCTGGCCAGAGGTCATTCAGGTGTGGGTGGCAGATCCAAGCAGCCAGGCTCCTGCACCTATCCTCTCTCTCTCTGTCCCATGTGAGCACCACTCTGACACCGGCCATGCAGAGGTCCCCCTCCTCCCCAGCACCCATGTGCTCCTGCAGGCATAGGCCCACATCTCCCACCCCTTCCCCAAGGAAGAAAAGAGAGGGGAAAAGGAACCTCCTCCTAAGAACCATCAAGACACAAAATCTTACTTAAGCCTCATAACAGCCCTGCATGGCTGGTTTATCAGGAAGCGCCTAGAGAGACAGGCAGTGTGGCCCAGCAGGTTAAGCTGCTTGTGACATTGTATTCCCATAGGGGCATCCCATACCCATAGCAGAGTGGTGTCTGGTTCAAGTTCAGGCTGCTCCGTTTTGGGTCTAGCTTTCCTAGGAAAACAGTGGAGAATGATCCCAGCACTGGAACCCTCTACCACTCACGAGGGAGGCAGGGATGGAGCTCCAGGCTCCTGGTTTTGGCGTAGCCCAGCCCTGGCTTGTTGTAGCCTTTTAGGGAGATTTCCAGGGCTGGTCGGTTCTCTCATCCCACAAACACCTGAGTGTCTACCGTGGGTTGGGCACTGCTTTGCTGCTGTCATTTCAAGGGCTGAAACGCCTGGTTCCAGGAAAGACAAGAAGCAGTCCCTTATCCAAAGCACCTAGTATATAGGGGTCACTGGTCCCACCAAGATGGACCTGCCTTCAGCACATGACCCCCTAAAGGAAAAATCCAAAACCCAAAGGTCTGGGGGAATTAACGAGCTGGCTGTTCACCCTTCCTCCTTTTAGGAATCAGAGAGGATTTAAAACAAGTTCTTAGCACGTTGGTACTTGAGCCACACAGCACTTCTGAGGAGGCACAGAAGCACAACCAAGTCCAGCGTGAAGAGCTGCTGAAAGTCTGGACGCTTCCCGATGCTGCAGGAAGCCTCGGCAGACGCCAACTCCACCATGCCACATCTCCCAACAGCCTCTCAGGGAATGGGCACTCAGGCCCTAGGCTTCCCAAACCCCTCAATCACACCTCCCTTCCTCCTTCAGCCCCAATCAGCAGAGGGACTCTTGGGCAGCGGCGCCCGCTCAGGGGAACAGCCAGCCATCCCAGGAGTCACTGCCCAACCCTTGAGATCACATTGGGCCACACAGAGTGACACTGAGTACTGGGGGGTAAGAACGCCTGGTCCTGATGAGGACTCCCTGCAAAACCAGAAGCAAGGTGGAGGAAGGTGCCGGTCTGACTCTGAGCCCATGATGCGCTCCATGGGCTTCATCTGCTCAGCAGGGGTAAGCAGCATGCCTGCTTGGCAGGGTGAGCAGTCAAATGGGACTGTCACATGCAGAGGCACAAGCTGAACTAACCTCCCAGTCCCTCAGAGACAGCCCGGGCTCCATTATTTATGACTTCTGGGAAGATGCTGGAGCCGAGAGTAAAGCCATCTCTTGGGATATCACATCCCTTACAGAAGTGCCAGGCCAAGTCTTGGCTATTCTGCTTCCCATCCAGTTCCCTGCTAACACCTGGGAAGTAGCAGAAGACGGCTCGAGTGCTCGAGTTCCTGAGAGAACCGGTGGAGTCCCTGGTTCCTGGCTTTAGCCTGGCCCAGCTCCAGCTGGTGTGGCCATTTGCAGAGTGAACGATGAAAGATCTCTCTGTGTGTCACTCTGCCTTAAAAAAAAATACTATATGATTTTTTTTTTATATATAGTAAAGAGTCTCCTTCAAAGCAAATCCACATATAACGAGCTTTCCAACCCATGAAGTCAGGTATCTTGACAGAGCGGGAGGAGGTGTCTTACGGGCTTAGTGGGGTATCCGTAGGTTCCGGGGCTCAGGGGACAGCTCCTGTTCCCCACTCACCTTTTCCAGCTCCTGCAGGAACACCTGGGCGATCCAAGAGGCCCTCTCAAAGCAGGCGATCACCTCCTCCTCCCTCTCGGTCAGGCGGTAGTGCGAAGCGATGGAGTTGGGTAGGCGTTCTAGGGAGAGGCCTGCAGGAGGAAGAGGGCGCCTCAGACCTGCCTTACACTAACATCCTGGCGGCAGGCGCTTCCCACGGGCACGGGTGGGCTCTTCAGAGGGGACACACGCTCTGGAGCAGCCAGCAGGAGGCAGCGGTCTGCACGGGGGAGGGAGGAAGCCGAAGCAGTGGTGGGTGGTATTAGCAATGGTTGGCAGCAAGCGATGGGTCAGGAGGAGGTGCTAGGGCCCCACACAGGGAATCACCCTGGGTCACTTCCCATCCAATTCCTGCCTCTCCTTCCAGGCCAGCTCTCGCAGGAAGCCACTCCTGGCCTCTCCTTCCAGTGGTCAGCAGTGGTGAGCACACTTTCCCTGCTGCACAGTGGTCATCTGCAGCCAGCTCTTGTCTGGTCCTTAGGCTCTTGGTGGGCAGCTGGGTGGTTGCGAGGGCTGCCCTGATGTCCCCGCCAGCACTATGCCCAGCAGGGGTTCAAGTTACAGAGACCTGAACATTTCTGCCACCCACCTAAGTGACTTAAGTGTTTAAGTCTTCTCTTTCTAAAGCGGACACCTGCCATCTTAACAACATTTACTCCCCTTTTTTTGGCCAGGCCATTTCACTTTCCTTCTTGCCATCGCTCAGCTAATCATGAAGTTCTCAGTGATTGGCTAAGGGTTAGCACATGGCTCAGTCTGGGCCAAGGGGAAGCAGTCTCGGAACTGTTGCTCTTCTCGCTGGGAGATCAGGCAACCTTGGGGGTTGCCTGGGAGGTCAGAGGTCACAGGGATCAGCCTGGCAACCTTGGGGGTTGCCTGTCTGAAAACGCAATCAGTGTGGTCAACCGTACACCAAAAAATGCTGAGAGATAAAGGTTGTCTTAACTCAAGCTGAAAACAATTAAATCTAATGTTTGCCTTGATTTAACCTGTAATTTATGCTTGGTTGATTGTTACTTTTTGAACCTGTCACTGATACTGTCTAAACCCAGATGTTTTGAAGAATTGAACTTCTTTTTTTTTTTAACAAAAGAAAAAAAACAAACAAAAAAAAACAAAACAAAAGCAAAGCTCTAAAGGCCAAAAGAAAAACAATCAAAAGAAACACATGCACCCCATCAAACAGAAGGAACAACACATATTGGAAATGAATGCTGTAAAGATAATGATCTATGTTGGGCTTTGAAAATAAAGACAGGAAAACCACCGAAAAGTCTCAGTCATGAAAAAAATGAAGTGCACACAGAGATGAAACATGGTGGAAAAGAATGAATTCTAAAAGAGATCACTTGAGCACCTGGATTCAGCATTGCCTGAAGCTCTACCCCTGAAAATTTTCAATGTACAAACCAACACACCCCCACACCGGCTCTCTCTCTTCCCTTCCTTCTTTTGTTGCCTCCTCCCGACCCCTTCTCCCTCCCTCTTTCCTTCTTTGCTTTGTCAGAGTCCATCATGCATGAATTTCCATCACCTGCCACTAACACCTACCTGACCAGGGTGCTGTCCTTCCGGGCCATGGCTTCCCACGACAGAATCGGTGCCCTCTCTTCCCCGGGCCACCCCAGGTCTACTTCCCATGCTGGAGGTGCCCAGCTGAGCTACTTCCTGTCCCATGAGTTCCCTCATCTGACTGATCACAGAGCCCAGCATGTCGGCAGCTGTCGCCCCTGCCACTGGCTCCTTCATCATGTTCTGTCTCTGGCAGGGATGCTCACTGTGACCTACTAGGCCTCCTGCCTCCAGCCTCCAGGACGCCAAACTGCCCTGCACAATGCTTCTGGGGCTCAGACTTCCTGAGGCCCTTGCTGCTGCACAGCAAGGCCCACATCCCACACCAGGCTCTTCAGATCCCAACCCTGTCCCTTCTTGGGCCTCCTCTCTCACCCTCTCTACCACCTCCACACTCCACCTCCTGTTCCCAGCTGCTGGGTGAGTGCTGCCTTCCTGATTCACTCGAAGTGTTACCCCTGGCTGAGATGCAACCCACCCTTTTCAAGTCTACTTGACCCTGCCTGCAGTCCCTTCCAATCGATGCACCCTGGCGCACCCAGCCGTGCTCATCTGTGAGCCCCGTCTATACATAGTCCCTTTTCATCACTTCCAGCTCTCCCACCCAACAAGCTGATTGAGTTGACATCCTCCCACCTGCCTCACACTGGACAGGCATTGGCTGGGCTGGATGGGAAAGCAACAGGGCTGGCCATGACTGCAAACCTAAGCGAGGAATTGCTTCTTGGTTTTCCTGGCTAGATGACAACAGTCTGCTTTCAGTGACCCTGTCCTCTGTCAAGCTGGCAGGTCCAAAGGTCAGGTGTCCGGCCCAGGGGGAGGACCACTCTTTGCCCAGCCCAGGATCACTGTCAGTGTGCCTCTTGCTAAAATGACAGGGGACCAAGGATGGGGGAGGAGTGCAGGCAACAGGAGGCTGCAGGGCTCACAGCCCAGCTGGGCCAGCCCTCCTCCCCAGGTGGGCAGCCTGTCCACCCTGCAGGACAAACAGTGCTGTTCGTTCCCTAGTCACATGGCCCCTCCACCCCCACAGTCTCAGAATTCTCCACCCCACCTGCTTGGAGAGCTCAAAGCAAAACCACCTCCTCTCTGAAGCCCTTCCAGGTGCTTTCTCTGAACCAGCAAGATATGTCCACTGCATCTCCCATACGTGTGCCTTCTACCTTCATTGTCATCGTGCTCTCTGCCCATTTCCTCTTCTCCCTTGTTTAATGTCTATTTGAGAGGTAGAGAGGTGGATATCTTCTATCCACTGGTTCATTCTTTTTTCTTTTTTTAAGATTTATTTATTTTATTACAAAGTCAGATATACAGAGGAGAGACAGAGAGGAAGATCTTCCGTCCAATGATTCACTCCCCAAGTGACTGCGATGGCCAGTGCTGTGCCAATCCGAAGCCGGGAACCAGGAACCTCTTTCGGGTCTCCCACACGGGTACAGGGTCCCAAAGCTTTGGGCCGTCCTGCACTGCTTTCCCAGGCCACAAGCAGGGAGCTGGATGGGAAGTGGAGCTGCCAGGATTAGAACCGGCACCCATACGGGACCCTGGGGCGTTCAAGGTGAGGATTTTAGCCGCTAGGCCATGCGCCACCGGGTCCACTCTGGTTTATTCTTGTAAATGCCCTCAGCAGCAGGGACTGGGCTAGGCTGAAGCCAGGAGCCTGCAACTTCATGTAGGTCTCCCACGTGGGTGACAGGGATCCAACTACCCAAGCCAGGCTGTACGTTAGCAACAACGTTGCTAGTACTTGAATCCATACATTCTGATATGGGATACAACTGGTTCAAGGGGCTGGGCCAAACACCTGCCCCTCTCTGCCCATTCCGAATTGATCTCTGCCCCCCACAGCCTAGTGTTCCGGGGGTTCCTGATGTACACAAGGATGGACGGGCATATTCACCCACACCGAATGTTCAGCCCAGTGGGGTTTCTCCCTCTCCAGTGACAAAATGGTACAGGTGGGTGCTTTGGCACAGAGTTAAGCCGCCACTTGGGACATCTGTATTCCATATCAGACAGCAGGTTCAAGCGCCAGCTCCTTTGATTCTGACTCAGCTCCCCGCCGAAGCAGCTAGAGAAGTAGCAGAGGATAGCCTCTGCTGTCCATGTGGGAGACCTGGGTGAAGTTCCAGGTTCCGGGATTTAGCCTGGCCCAGCCCTGGCTCTTGGGGCCATCTGGGGAGTAAACCAGCAGATGGAAGATCTCTCTCTCTCCATCTCTCCCTCCCTCTCTATCACTCATCTCCCAAACAAATAAATCAATCTTTAAAAGAATATATATGAAGATAAAAAGAAAGTGGCTATGATTCAGAGAGACAGATCACAGTAATGAGTTAAGATCACTGAATTGCTTCCCTGTGAGATAGGTGCCAACGGACATGAGCCCAGAAGGCTTCTAGGGCCAGCAGTGGCTTTTCTCAGGCAGGGTCGCAGTCCGGGTCCTGAGCTCTGCCCATTCAAAGGGGCATCTATACCTACTTATGCTCTCTGATGATACAAAAGTCTTCTTTCTTGTCCACCTGTGTGGTGCAGGGGGTCTCCCGGGGGGCTCTGACCCCAGTTCCTATCTCCACAGCCCTGTTGGCACTTTCCTCCCAGCAGCCACACAAGCCGAGACTCAAGATGCAGATGGCAGCTCTTGACCCCAGCCTCCAAGGAGCCCAACAGAAAGGGCAGTCCCATGGGGGTGGTCCCACCTGTGCCAGCTGCTGCCTGGTGACCTTCATGGGCAGAAGCGGCCTTTCCATGCAAAGCCTTAGCTTAAACAAGGCATGGGAAGGTCCCATTCAGGACAAGGACTTGTCTCCTATTGGCTCTGAACTTTTAAGTTGCAGACCAAGTGGCTCTGGCACAGCCCAATAGCAGGCTGGCTCCAGCGCTGGCAGCCCAGCATGACTCACTGCAGCCCAGGAAACTGCCCTGCCAAGAAGCCCCACCCAAACGCAGCCTCAGGCCCTGGAGACAGAGATGGAGAACATGAAGCCTTCTGTGCTACAGACAATGTGGACACCCTCCTCCCCCATCCAGCTGAAGAACCCAGGCACCCACAGCACCCAGGAAGGGTCAAGGCCAGTTATAGGCAGCGTCCATGTCAGAAGGAGGAAGGACGCGGTTCCTTCAGGCCTCCAGTGGGGAGCCTCAAGGCCACAGAGAGAGGAGCCCTCACAGCTCACTCTCGAGGGTGGGCAATTGGGAAGGAAAATGACATGACCTCTCCACCCCACTTCCAGGTGCACACACAAGAACTGAAGACACGGTCTCTCTTGGAGACATGTGTGTACATCTATGTTGTAGCAGCCCTATTGACAGCAGCCTAAAAGTGGGAATGGGCATGCGTCTGCTGGCAGATGACTGGGCAGACGTGGTGGGAAGCATACAACACGGTGTGGCTCAGCTCCATGGAGTCACCTCTGACACATGCTCCAGTGTGGCCAAACTGCAAGCACCCTATGCCAAGTGCAACTGGCCAGACACACAAACACTGCCAGACTCTGTTGACCGGAGGTATATCCACAAAGACAGAAAACAGAAGGGTGGAGCCAGCATTGTGGTATAATGGGTAAAGCCTGCAACACTGCATCCCATATGGACACTGGTTCGTAACCCGCTGTTTCACTTCTCATCTAGCTTCCTACTAATGCATCTGGGAAGGCAGTGCTTGGAACCCTGTACCTTCATGGGAGATCTGGAAGAAGCTCCTAGCTCCTGGCTTCGGCTTGGCCCAACCCCATCAATTGCGGCCATATGCAGAGTGAACCAGTAGATGAAGATCTGTTTTTCCATCTCTTCCCCAACCCGCCCCCCTGTAATCCTGCCTTTTGACTAAATAGAATAAATTTAAAAGAAAGCCGAAGGATGGCTGCCAAGGGGTGGGAGAAGAGGGAATAATGTGCTGTTGTTGAAAGGGTATTGAGTTTCAGTTTTGCAAGCTTCTGGAGATGGGTTGCATGACCACAGCTGAACAGCACTGAACCACACACTTAAACATTGTGACAGTGGAACAGTTTCTGGTATGTCTATTTTCACAATTTGTCTCAATGAAAGAAAAAAAAAAACAAAATAAAAAAAGCAGGCAGTTGGGGTTCTATGGCGAAGTTTCTAAAACCATGCACATTCTTTGATCTAGCCAGTCTAGAAGTTGATCTTTTTTTAAAACAAAAAAGTGACACATGCAAAATTTTACCTTAAGGAGTTCCACTGCAGCATTGTTTATGATGGAGAAGAGAGAGAGATTCAGCACATAAGTCCAACGGTAGGGGAGAAGTCCACAGAATTAGAACAGAACCTCACAGAGAAACGCCATGAAGCTACTTAACAGTGATACAGACATGGACTGCAAAGTGACATGTAAAGTACACATACCGACTTTAAAAAGACGATAAAAAAATGACTACATAAGTGGATTTTTAATTTGAAAAACATAGACAGCACTATCAGGAAAAAAAGCCTGGAAGGACAGACAGCAAGCAGCTTTGCAGAGGTCTGACCCCAAACACACAAAATGAGATTGCTAACATCTGGCAAAGAATGTGACCACAATCATTAAATTAGAGGAAATGGCCCAGGGCTGTGGCATCATGGGTTCAACCTCAACCTGCAGTGCTGGATCCTATATTGGTGCACCGACAGGAGTCCCAGCTGCTCCGCTTCTGATCTAGCTCCCTCCTGAAGCTCACAGGAGAGCAGCTGAAGATGGCTTAAGGGCTTGGGCCCCCTGCCACCCATGGGTGACCTGGATGGAGTTACGGTCTCCTAGCTTTGGCCTAGACTTCTGGTGTCTTCCATGCCCTTTAGTGACCCAATAGGGATCCCCAAATCTGGTTTTAGTGGCTCAAGCACATGATGGCTGAATTATAGCTGTTTACACTGGCAGGAGCCA